CATACCACTTTTATAAAGTTACAAAGGTCCAGAGGCAGACAAAGTACACAACTCCATTACTTAAGTAAAAGTACAGAAGCACTTGCTTTTAAAAGTACTTAAGTACCAAAAGTAAATTTCCTTATTTATGTCAATGCATTGTTTTATTATTGTTGTAATACTTGCAATACCTCTGATGCAACTTACACCTACTGAAATTACACCTACTGAATAGACTGACTAGCTTGTAGTATCTCTGGAATAAAGAGCTTTTAGAATGTTAAAAACCTATGGGGAAAAAACTAAACAAAAAAAATATATTATTATTTAACACCCCTAAACCACCCCCACAAAAGCAGGATGGTAGTGATCTCACACAGCTCTGGACACATCTATGTGTAACCATTCATCTACATTTGAACAGAGTGGACAGTGAAATCCTGTAAATACAGACTGATAAGGAAGGAAAAAAAATCAAACCTGCTTTAAAACCCAGCAACACAGCTGTAGCTGTATAACTTTACAACAGCAACACTGCTTTAACAAAAATGCAAAACAGCAAGACTTATTTGACATCAAAACAAACATTTTTAGAAATGATGTCTAATCGCTCTCACTGTACCTTGATGTCATACACAGAATGGTCTGTGCAGTGCTGCCTCAGTCAAACACCTTTTGTGTTTTTATTAGCAGTTCCCTTTCAGTCGGTCACTCTCGACGTCACGTCAGAGGACCGACAAATTGGGATCTCGCTTAGAGGGACCAATCTACTTCGAGTGTAAACTAAACGAGCCAATGCACATTGGCATGCGATTATTGCATCCAGCTGCTGCTGATCACAGCGTGAGTATAAGTAGGCAGCAGATGCAGCGCATATTCAGCTTTTCGCTTCGGAGCCGAGCGGTTCTATCGTTCTGCTCCTGACCTTCTACAGTAGTGAGAAACTACAGTCAAGCACGCTCTTTGGTGGGCTCTCGTGCTGGTGGACGGCGCTTCAGCGGTGGTGGTTTTCCCGTGTCGAGTGGGTTGCACACAACAGGCTGCACTACACTTGTGTGTGTTGCAGACGGCCATCTCCCCTGTGCGCTTCAGCACATTAAAAGAGCAAATTCCATTCTAAAAGAGCTTCACGGGTGGAACGTCTTTTTAAAGATGCGTCTTTTTAAAGATGTCATACCATCCGTGCGTTTCTGGGTGCGGTCGTTACCTGGCGCCAGGTGATGGTCACGATCGCTGCCTCTCGTGCCTGGGCATGAAGCACGCTGAGGTGGCTTTCGTGGATGACTCATGCTCCCATTGCGG